GCAGTTGAGGGGGTCCCTCAGCCCCCCGCCTGGGTATCAGGCACCTCCCCGGGGCTGGGAACCCGCTGAGGCCATGCTGGGATGTCAGCGCACGGGGTGGGGGGCTCAGGATCAGGCCTGGCAAGGGGGGGGCAGGGTCAGACGCAGCCCTGGCAGGGCCATGGGACAGCCTGGGGCTCCCGGGCCAGGAATGGGGGTAGCCACAGGTGGAGTGGCCAGGGATGGCGAGGGCTGTCAGTGTCCCTCTGCGCTGGCACACGGGTCTCTGCTCCATCGGTGTTCGTCTCTGCTCTTCCCATCTCTCTTGGCTCAGCTGATGGCTCCTGGCCATGACGTTTGCACATTGTTCATATAAAATGAATGGGAAGGATGGCCTGTACCTTATTCATGCCTTATTTTCGTGCTGCTTTCTTCCTTTTCACTTGCAATCAGTGCTGTATTGTTCTTCACATTTTTTTTCCTCTTTGCGCTGGACACTTCTCTAATTTTTGGGTGTGGGAGGAAAGTGATAACTATAAAGTTTTGATTCAACAGTTTTCCACTTCTGAGATTTTTTTTTCACCGACTTCAATTTGTTGCATCAAACGTGAAAACGCAGAGATGAAACAGTGTAGTGCTGTTTTGCTTTTCTGTAGTTCCTTCTTAGGAAGAGCTTTTTTGCTGGCAGCGTGGGGTGGGGAGGAGCAGTTATTTGAAGTCAGCATTTGGCGATGGCATTCAGCACACAGACCTCCTGAGGCTGGGGAGCACTTGTATCCATGAGGAACCCCTAGGACCAGGGCAGCGTGCCTCCCTGAGCTAGGTGCAGAGCCCTGCTCCCGCCGTGTGTTGCAGGTCGGCGGCATGTTTGACACGGTGCAGAGGAGCACCCAGTGGACCACGGACTGGGCACTTCTACTCCTCCAGATAATCACCTCGGGAACAGTTGATATGCAGAGCAACAGGTACGTCTGCGCTGTCTAAACACGCTCATTCATTTTCAGTTCAGATTGCGGGTGTGCCGTTGTTACGTTTTTCCTGCTGTTACCCCCTTTCCGTGCTCAGTGCTGGGCTCGGGGAGCCCCTCTGTAGCTGGAGCCGCTATTTACGCCCTTCCCTAACGAGCGTGTGCCTGAGCATTTTCCTAAGGCAAAGCCCAGAATGCCTCGTGAGCCTCCCTTAGCAGCTTGTGCCGCCTGTAGCTCGGGGCTGGGGTCTGTGATAAGATTTGTGTGTGCATACACGGGGCTGTGGCATGCAAGCTGAGGGGGGGTGTGCAGAGCCCTGAAAACCCAGCTTGGCTGGCCTTCGCTGTCAGCATCTGTCCCTGGACCTCTCGGCACCGGCAGTTTGTCAGGGTAATCCTTGTCTTTGCTCTCAGCGAGCTGTTCACCACCGTGCTGGATATGCTGGGCGTCCTCATCAACGGGACGCTCGCCTCGGACCTGTCGAACGCTTCCCAAGGAGGGCCCGAGGAAAACAAAAGGGCTTACATGAATTTAGTGAAAAAATTAAAAGTAAGTGTGAGGTCTTGTCGTTTCCAGCATTTCTTTTGAGTTGCATTCTGTGGTCATCTTTTAATCCTGCCATTTATTCTCTAGAAAGGTTCTTGGAAAAAGAGGAGAGACTGAAACAGCACTAGTGGTAACATGGAGAAAAAAGAAGGAAATAAAAATACAGGAATGTGGGGGTGGGAAGACAAACTTATAGTATTTGCTTCATATTAACTTAAAATTAGGGACCCTGCAAGACACTTGAGTACTTTTATTAATGTTTGAGACTCTAAATTTGCATTACGTGTTTTCTACATTCTGTGTAAACAAGAGATTAAAAGGTAACTTACATTCTTTAAAAAAAAACCCAAAAAAAACCCCAAAACCCTTGCAAAGCCACTTGTTTAAATTTAGTAAAAGTACAAGGAAATGATTCATCCAGAAAGTGGACATTTTGTAATAGTGAAAGCAGTGTAATGCTTCTCTTCTTTTCTTCCCCCTGTTCTGTTTGATTGATCGATGGATTTGTTCTCTAGAAAGAGCTGGGAGACAAGCGCTCGGAAAGCATCGACAAGGTTCGACAGCTGCTCCCTTTGCCCAAGCAGACGTGTGATATTATCACCTGCGAGCCCATGGGATCCTTGATCGACACCAAGGGGAACAAAATCGCAGGGTTTGACTCCATTGATAAGAAGCAGGCAAGAGCAAATGTTTGCTTTCATCTCAGTTTTTCCGTGATTTTTGAAGCGCAAGAAATTCGAGCAAATGGGTACAGCTTGTACAGTGCACGTGTTTATGTGTGGTGTCGTAAAAGCACCGTACTTGGGCTGTGCTGCAGCTTTCTGGAGCGCTCGGGCACCACTAGAGCCCCAGCCCCGGCAGCGTGGTCTCTTTGGAGCAGGCAGGCGTTCTGCGAGCAGCGATGCCGCAGTGAGGAACGCCGGGCTTGGCGAATGTCACCTGCGAAAGCAGTTGCACTTGACACGTTGCCTGCTCCAGCGTTCACCTTTCTTAGAATACTGACCTCACTTTTCTTCTGAAACAGGGTCTTCAGGTTTCAACCAAACAAAAGGTGTCCCCTTGGGATTTATTTGAAGGTCACAAAAATCCTGCTCCTCTCTCCTGGGCATGGTTCGGTACAGTCCGTGTCGACAGGAAAGTGATCAGATACGAGGAGCAGCAGCACCTCCTCCTCTACCACACGCACACCAAACCCAAGCCGCGGAGCTACTACCTCGAGCCCTTGCCCCTTCCTCCAGAGGAGGAGGAGGAAGAGCCCACCACACCTGTGTCTCAGGAACCAGAAAGGAAGCCAGGAGAGCTCTCAGATCAGGGAAAACATGCCACGGATGATGAGAAGAAGACAAAGGGCAGGAAGCGAAAGTCCAAGTCAAGCTCAAGGGCTGATGTAAGTAGTTGTTTGCCCCACACAAAACCTGAAATATCTCATTGAAGCGTCTGGTGCTGCACGGGGCGTGGGTTTTGGGGCGTGGGGTCCTGAGCTGAAGCATCACTTGGAGCAAGGGTTTGACAGACCCATGCCTGGCACCACCCCAGTCATAAAGTACGTTTCCAGGAGCAGCGTTCGGTGCCATGTGTCCCCATCGCGCTGCTGCCCGTGCGGTGTGACGTGCTGTAGGTGTGACAGGATTCTGCCAGCAGCCAGCGGCGTTGGCGGTGGGTTGCATTTTAAGGAGCTGTACTTTTAAAGAGAATTTTCTGACCTTTGTGCTGTTTCAGTTCTTCTGTTATTTACAGCCTGGTACAGTGAGCTGTCCGTGTGCTGTTCCGAATTACAGCCTGCAGAGAAGGCTTGCTGATAAGGGGAGATGGATGGTGTGTGTCTGAAGCTGTTAATTACCTGTGGGCAGCCCGAGACTGCATCTCTTCACATCCCTGCGAGCGACAATGGGCGCTGTCTCTGCCCCTTAATAATTTAGTAGGAAAATTGTCATTATTGATGAGTTAGTAAGGTAGGAATGTCAGTAACGTTCGCTTTTGCTGTCTGTTTGAAGGAATATCCACAGAACAACCTGTACAGAGTGCCTCCCGCCTACTCGCCCCTCTCCTCCCAGCTGATGCCCCATCCCCAGGCTGCACTGTGGGGCTACGGCGTCGTGGGGCAACCGCAGCAGCCCGGCTTCTTCCTGCAGAGCCAGCCCCTCGCGCCAGGTACGCGCCAGCTCGGGACGCACGGCGCGGGGCTTTGCTGTCGTGGGTAGGACGAGAGCTGACTTCTTACAACCGCGTTTTGTTTCTCCCTCTCTCCGAAGCAGGTCTGCCCATGCCATTTATTTTATTTTTTAGTTTTTTTGGAAGGGGTTTCTGTTATCAGTTAGGGGTCTGTCTCTATCAAGCTATTAAACTTTGTGGTAGATGAGCAAAAGTTACCTACTGTGGTGGTGGTATTAGAAAGCTGGCAGAGGGTCAAGGAGTGAAATAAGAGAGGAACAAGTGACCTTTGGGTTATTTCTTCTTTAATTTATACCAAGAACTGTGGTGGCTAATTTAACGTCTGCTAGATGGAATGAATCAATCCGTGGGCTCGCATTTTTTCAGCATTTGTGATATGTGCTTAATTTTTTGTAGGATTGTTTTGTTTCTCCCCCTTAGTGTGTACCCAGTCCAACACGGGTATTTTCCTTGCTCTGGGGGGCAGCAGTTTATGGTGTTTTGGAAACACCGTTGAGTCCTTCTCTGGTATTATGCGGGAGAAGTTTAGGAGTTTGGTTCCAGTTACAAATGTTTAAATATTTTTTTTCTGAAGCTCCAAATACAACTAGGTCTGTATTTTAAGTGTGTAAAAGTCTTCAGAATATACCAGACAGTGGCTAAAAAGTTCAAGATTTTAAAAGCAAATGTGTAAGATTACCTTCCTAAGTCTGGCATACAGATACGTGATTTTTATCAAACAGCACAGAGTGCATAAATTGCTGCCAGCTCATTATAAAATTGGTTTGCCATAATGAGCTGTTCAGGTCATGGTTTTGATCTGACATGCAACTTCTGTTCATCGGTAGCAGTCAAAACGTTCTGTGTGACATAGACCATGCAGCAGCCCCTGGCCCTTTGGCTTTTCGTTCTCATTTGCAAGTTATTTAAATTTAAAAGTTATTTTGCCCGTTTCATTTTTCAGGCCAGTAATCTGGTGTAATCCAGTTCAGCATCTGCCCTTACAGGATCAGTGTGCCATCGTTATCGCAGAGCTAACCCAGCGGGGCTGGTGGGTCGGCAGCGATCGGCACCAGCAGCGCTCTGACGGACGGCCGAGGACACGTTTGTGTTTTGGGTGGTTTTCAGGTGGCTCCAGGCTGGATCCCACAGGCTCCTTTGTTCCCGCGAACACGAAGCAGGCGCTGTCGAACATGCTGCAGCGGCGCTGCGGCTCGGTGGTGCAGCCCCCCTCGCTCCACGCGATCCCGCCCCAGCAGCAGCTGCTGCAGATGAAGCTCCTGCAGCACGAGCAGCAGCAGCAGCGGCTCCTCAGGCAGCAAGCGCAGTCACGGTCCCTCCAACAGGTTTGTGCAAACCCCCAAGTCTGAAGAGCAATGTGGTGATTTTGCCTTCTGTTGGGGCTGCTTACGGAGCACAGAGCCAGCTGATATTTGCCATGGCAATAAACCCCCAAATCTTGCTTGCCCAGGGCCATCTGCTCTTACACTTGGTTGCCAAAGTCTCTTAGCCCCTTCTGTTCTTCCTGTGTTTCATAAAATCAGGTTTTGCTTCAGCTACTTGAGGACATTCCTGTTCCCCGTTGTGTCCGGGGGCTTTCACGGTGGAGCCACATGGTGCTAGGCACCGCCAGGCTCCAAGGGAGCAGCAGAGGCACAGCAGTGCTCTGCGCAGGGATGAACACAGGAAGCCCGGCAGGAGCCGTTTCCATACCCGTGTGCACGCAGACGCCCGTGTTCCCTAGCAATAGCTGGTGTTTGTTCTCCTGAGAGCTGTGCAGAGCGCAGCTGCTGTGTGCCAGAGCGCACGCGGCCGTTGTGAACCCCCTTTGAGCCTGAGCTGTCTCAGAGCGTGGCTGCAGACAGGCTGCGTGGGAAGAACAGAAAATTGGTCTCTGGATCCCAGATGATCAGCAATGTGTGTGCAGCAGGTGGTGGTAAAACCAATAGCTTTTCACCTTCAAAGTCCTTCTGTGCCCATTCTTACCCTCTCTGCAGTATATATTGCATTGCCCTTATGCTATCTTGCCTTTAGACTCTGTGATGTGCCCTCTTTGCTCAAAATAGTCAAAATTTTCAGCAAGTATCCTCGTAATTTCTCCCGTGCTGTCTCAGTGGTATGTGCAAAGCCCTCTCTAGTGCTTAAATTACTGATGGGCTACAATAGTTTTATGTGGAGCTGTTCATAATGGTGAAACCAGAGTTTCCCTGTGTGTTGTCTTCTACCTTTAAAAAAAAAAAAAAAGCCCCCAAAAGCTCTGGATGTGTGTTTTACCCTATCAGTGGCACCGTGGGTATTTGGTCCCTCACTGGTGTACCGTAGGCACGAGGAGGTATTAAGGGTTAGGTACCCTAAATGTTAGTTCCTGGGCTCTACGATGAGCCATCGCTTGTTTGATGGGAGCCCTGTGCTATTTCTCACCTTGGGCAGTATCTCACTGTTCTAGTGTAGGTCCAGCTGGCTTTCCCCAACTGTGATAGCACGCAGGCTGAAATAAGAGCCTCGGGTAAACCAATGGTGATCACTGCTCATGGCCAGGTGGGTCAAAAGGTAATAATTGGAGATCTGAAATAACACATTATTCTCACATGTAAGAAATGCTGTTGCTTAATGCTGTCCCATGGAGAGGGCAGAAGATGCTGCGTTTCCCGGGTGGTTTCAGCAGGGACAGCATCAGGGCTGCTGCAGCGTGCTGCATGGGCAGGCTGTCAGCAGGAGAATAAACTTACCATCAAAGTGTGAATCCATGCCTAGATAAGATTGATAAGGAGTCTGTGATGAATTTTTTTGTAAAAGGTGGATCAGACTTTTGCAATGCAGAAGGTGCACCGCAGTTCAGTGGGGGAGGTTCGGGTGCCCGTTCCAGTGAACATACGACACCCTGGGTGCTCAGCCGCCAGCGGGTCCGTATCCGCCGTGGTGTTGTTTCAGCAGGCAGCCGGTGTAAGGTAAACTGATGTAAAGCAGGTCAAGCCAGGCCACCTCAGCCCAGCCGTTGGTTCCCGGCTCCTTGACCACAGCGGGTGCACAGCCAGGTCCTCGCCCTGTGCGGGCAGTGCTGCAGGCGGGCGCCTTGTCCTCTCTCTGCCTGACTGGGTGTTGGGAAGATGCCTTCAGCCTGATAATGTGAACACTTCCACTGTAATGAAACGAATGACCGCTTCCCCAGGCGTCTGTGTGCTTTCCTTCTGCTGGCACCAGGGAACCCCCCGAGGTACCAGTGTCACCGGGGCTCTGGGGGCTGCCCGGTGGGACACCTCCCTGCTCCAGTTCCGAAACATGTCCTGGGGAACCTGGGGGTGGTCCTGCCTGCGGTCCTGGGTTTGGAGCAGGAAACGCTCTGGCAGTGTACGAGCCTGAAGGCAGTATTTGAAGATTCAGGAACAAGATGATCTGTAAGCATCGCTACTACGGGGTGTGTGTTGTGAGGCAGAGCTTACACGGGGACGGTTTCTTCTTTGGTTTTTATGTTTCTGCAGCTGCAGAATGGAATTACCATCCCAGCTTGAAACCCCTGGCACTGGTGTGAACAGGTGTGTAAAATCAGCGCAGAAGGGCTCTGCTCTGCAGTGCTGTGCCATGAGTGCTGTGCTCCCGAGAGCAAATAGCCACGGTGCCAGGTCTTTAAGACCTGTGACTTGTTAGAAAAATTTTCAGTATTATATGTAGAATGGATGGCTCCTGGGGATGGTAAGGGGTCCTTTCCAGGTTTGGAGTTTCTGCTCATAAATTTTATAAAAGTATTGAGGTTCATTAGCATAAAAACCACCTAAAAGGACCTTGTTAGCATCCCTGAACACCAGTGTCTCCGAGTGCACACAGGTGAGCTCGGTGAGGGTGCTGTGCTGCTCCTCTAACAAGCTGAACCTAGTGGTGTATACTCTTGGTATTGTTTGCTACTTTCTCGCCTGTCCTTTCCCTTTAGGATGTCTGTAGCACCGCTGCATCCCTTCAGGATGGCTTTGACAACATGATGGTAACCACCCTGAGACGTTTCTTCTCTTCATTTTTTTCTTTCGCACAAACATGCATTCCGTTCAGCACCCAGGCTGCGCACTGCTGCTGATGAGGGTGATGCGCTTTGGCACGCCTCGCGCCTCGGTCGCTGCATGTGGGAGGGCTGTGAATGCACCTGCACGCACAGAACATCTTTTTCTCACAAGTATTTCCAATAACGGCATCACTAATTAATTTTTTTCCTCTTCTGTTGTGTTTCTTGCTGTGAAAGGTCAGAGTAGCTGCAGGATGTGTCGGATGCCGTGTCCCTCTAGGCAGGGCTGGCGTGTTGCCATTCGGGTCCTTCTGGGCAACACCAGTGACATCTGTGCCTGCGGCCGGAGGCTTCATCCCTCGTATCTGTGTGGGAAAGCTTTCCAGATGTTAGGAAGCAGAGAAGCGGGTTCAGAGCTTGCAGGACTTTCTTCCTGTCTGAGGGAACTGCAGTGTCATTGAAAGCACCAGCTGGAAGGACACAGCAGAACGTGTTTTTAGAAAGGCTTTGCTGCTCACCCGTTGTCGGTGCCGTCACGCCTGTGCTGCAGGGAGCGTGCCAGAGCAGGGTGTGGAGCACCAGGGCTGCAGGTACTGGGGCACAGCTGGACATGCAGCAAGTACGCAGCCAGGTCTCAAATCCATCATTTTATCTCCAGAAGGGTCGGTGTGTCACTGCCTGCTTTCAAAGGCAGGTTTGGTCAGATTGGGGTCACATCAGCTCTGGTACCGCGGCTGCTGCGATCACCTTTGCAGTCCCAGCACCGCTGAGAAAATAAAATTCCTTCCAAGTACACTATGGTCACATAGCTTCCCAGGACAAAGCAGTAAGTTTGGCTTCAGTTTGAGGTGTGTCTGGAGCAGAGAGCTGTCACTGTGGCACGCAGGAGAGCGCCGGAGCCCCGCACCGCGGAGTGGCTTCCCCGGCACCGCCGCGGCTGGTGGTACTGCGGGGAGTGGTCCCAGCACCGGCTCCTCTAGAAACCAGCCGTGGTTTCACCAGATTGCATCTTCAGGAGAACTCAGGTCACATCTTTGTCTGTCTTGTGGTTGGCACCCTACAAAAAAAATTCAGAATCCGTTTGCTTGGAGAAACTATTATTGGTTTTTTTTCTTCTTTTGTCTCTGTTTAAAAAAAGAAAAAATCTTAAGTACTCGAGTACCTTTCTCCTGTGCCAGGTGATGCCCAGCTGGCGCTGGTTTACGTGCATCCCGCCTGCAAGGCGTGTGTTCTGTTCAGCGTTCAGTGTCCCACCTGCCGGGGGTTGTTCTGAGAGCTCCTCAGCTGCTTCTGCAGATGTTTTCCAGATCAATGTCATTCACCCTGAGCTTTGTCAGGACAGATAGATGTTACTCTGTTCACACTTCCTTTGCCCCCTAATCTGTTTTTCAGAATTTTCCATGAAAAACTGGCTTGTTTTTAAAACAAGCCCTCAGTGTAGCTCGTTGTGTTGGAGCTCCCTGCTGCCTTGCTGCACCGTAGCCCTGGTCCCAGAGGCTGGTGCAAGCCTGACTAGGTCTGTCCTTTTTTTTTTTTTTCTTCCTTAAAAAGAAAGGAAGGTATGAAAAATTAGCGTGTGACAACCCTGTGGTAGCTTTGCCCCTGGCTTTGCATCTCGCCCCTGACCTCTGCTGTCTGTTCTCCAGCCGGAGCACAGGAGTTCATCCACCCGGGCACGGCGGGTCCCGTCTCCTGGGGCCGGACAGGCTGAGGCTGGGACCCTCTCTGAGCCGTTTCGCTTCCCGGGGCCATTCCCCGTCACAGCAGGCAGCTCGGTTTGTTTCCCTGCTCCGTCCATGAGGATGCACGTGTTTTTAAACACAATCCAGGAAAGCGGCTGAACTCCCGGACTGCGGGTTGTGCTGCAGACGGGATAACATTGGGTGCGGTTACCGCTGGAGGGACGGGAGCGGATAACGGAGGAGCGTGCCGATGGGGCTGCGGTATTTCATCCCGCGTGAGATTGTCTTCCCCACCTGCTAGCCCTGACTGTAACGCGGCTGCTTGCAGCGTGTTATCAGAGTCACTTTTAGCCTTAAATTATCAAACATCTCTGCGAGGATATCCTCAGTGAAACGGCAAAGGTTTGTTGGAGGACTTGGATTTTTTGTTGGTTTTTGTGGTGAATGGGGCAGCTTCAGGGCAGGAGGATCACTGCTTCCAGCTCACGTCTGCCACTGAGCTTTTTGGAGTAGAATGCTCTTCAAAATGATGAGGTGCCGCTGCGCAGCATCGCGGCCGCACAGAAAACACACAGACTTGATTGTGTCCTGGGCAAATTCCCTTCACCAGTTTTTTGCAATCTTGGTTCTGAAATTAAGTCTAACTTTCCCCCCCCGCCCCTTTTCTGGTGCT